TTTAGACTCCAACCACGTACAATGTTAATATATATTTAAGGTGAAATCCATATTTTGTGTTGGCTGGCCTAAGCTTTGGGAGGTTTCAAATTACAAGATAGGTTTATTGAAAATCCTACATGTGGGCTCAACACAAGGCTTGCATCCAACCTAAAACCAATTGGCGATAGGTGGAGTAGCCCTCCTTGTATTTAACCCACAAGCTTCTTATTTTTATACTTGATGTGGGATTTTCCCACTTAACAAGCCCCATCACGTGCAGGCCCGCTATGAATGTCGGGTCCTGTCACGTGGGTTAACACGTCCCCTTAAATGCAAGCTCGGTATCAACTTCGAGTCCTGTCAGGTGGGCTAATAACGGGCTTCCCATGGTAGAACCTGGGCTCTGATACCATATTGAAAATCCTGCATGTGGGCTCAACACAAGGCTTGCATCCAACCTAAAACCAATTGGCAATAGGTGGAGTAGCCCTCCTTGTATTTAACCCACAAGCTTCTTATTTTTATACTCGATGTGGGATTTTCCCACTTAACAAGATCAACCATCAAATGCGTTTACACTCCCCCTCAAACTTGGCCGAGGTAGAAGGGATAGGCCAAGTTTGGTTCGTAACTCATTGAACGAGGTTCTTGGTAAAGGCTTGGTGAAGATATCTGCCAGTTGAGACGATGACGACACATACTGAGTTACAAGATTTCCAAAGGCTACTTTTTCCCGAACAAAATGGTAGTCCATCTCGACATGCTTTGTGCGCCCATGAAACACATGATTGACAGTCATGTGCAAGGCACTTATATTATCACAGTGGAGGATTGGTGGATTGGGGATGTAAATACCAATATCTTGGAGTAGATAAGTAAGCCAAGTTATCTCAGCTGTTGTAGATGCCATCGATTTATATTCAGCTTCTGCACTTGAAAGAGAAATAGTTGGTTGCTTCTTTGCACACCAAGAAATGCAATTTCCTCCAAGCAAGGTGCAATATCCTGTTGTAAAGCGACGAGTAATAGGACAACCTGCCCAATCAGCATCAGAGAAGGCATAAAGAGTGAAAGTAGACTGTGAAGTAATATTTAATCCCAAATCAATAGTACCATTTATGTAACGTAAAATGCATTTAACTATTCGAAAATGCCCCATGGTTGGTTCATGCATAAATTGACATGCAAAGTTAACAGCATATGAGATATCAGGACAAGTCAAAGTTAAGTATTGTAAGCCACCTACTATACTTCTATAGAAAGTGGGATCATGGAACAACTTATCATCGGTTACGGCTCAATCCTTGGTTGCCATTGGTGTTGATATAGGCTTACACCCATCCATTTGGGCTCGGTGGAGGAGATCTTTTGCATATTTTGCTTGGCAAAGAAATAACCCATTTTTGGTCATGTGGGCTTCTATTCCAAGAAAATAATGGATAGATCCAAGGTCCTTGATAGAAAATTCATGACCAAGTTCTTTAAGAAACCACTGCACAAGATTAGAATTATCTCCAGTTAAAAGCATATCATCAACATAAATTAAAAGTAAGAGTGTACCTTGTGATGAGTGGCAAATAAAAAGTGAAGGGTCAGCGATGCTACAAAAGAAACCAAAATGTAATAAAAAATTGCTTAAACGATCAAACCAAGCTCTTGGAGCTTGCTTAAGTCCGTATAAAGCTTTCTTTAGGCGGCACACATGAGAAGGATGCACAGAGTCAATGAAGCCAGAAGGTTGCTCCATATATACTGGTTCAGAAAGATACCCATGGAGGAATGCATTCTTAACATCAAATTGTCGAATTGTCCAACCTTTCATGCATGCCGTAGTGATGACAATGCGTATGCTTACTGGTTTGACAACAGGAGAGAAGGTTTCTAAGAAGTTAAGCCCTTCAATTTGGTGAAATCCCTTGGCAACCAATCGAGCTTTCAGGCGATCCAAGTTCCCATTAGGTTTTAACTTGGTTTTAAAACCCATTTACAACCTACCACATTCATGTGAGCCTCCCGTTGGACAATATCCCATGTATCATTTATTTTTAAAGCATGTAGTTCTTCATGCATGGCAGCTTTCCACCCATCGTTCTTCAATGCCGATATCACGGTTTTTGGTTCTGTTGGAATTTCTTTGTGAAGGTAGGCATATCGAGGGTTCGGCTTGGTGATTCCTCGTTGAGCTTGAGTAACCATGTTATGATTGCGAGACAATTCAACTTCTGGTCTGTTGGAACTCGTGAATTGATCATCAGAATTATTTGAAGGGAGGCTTGAATTTTGAGCACCATTTTGATTTGTCTCCAATTCCACGTGTATGGAAGGTAAATCATCATCATGATGGCCATCTTGAGATGGATTCAATTGTCCAGTGCATGATTTCACATTATGACATTGAGTCAACTCGGTCGGCTGGTTTATTGTTGATTCCATGGTCTCTGTGGTTGGTGATTCATTAAGCCTGTTGTCATCTTGCGAGCTGCAACTCATTTCCAGTTGTTCAATCGGGGTAGAGCTTTCCTGTGGCAAAGAAATTAACGATGGATCAGAGATGTGAAAGTTTGAGTGATTTACTGTCTCTTGCTCCAGTTGAGTCTCGATCCATTCATTGTATGTGGACAGCTCTCCTCCAATTTTACTTGTATCATATAGTGCACATGGATTTTTGAAAGGGAACTGCATTTCATTAAAGACAACATGACGTGAGACAAAGATTCTATTTGTTGGGGGATATAGACATTTATAACCTTTGTGCTTTGTACTATATCCAAGAAAAATGCATGGAAGTGATTTAGGTTCCAACTTATTCTTTTGGTAATCCCCCAAAAATGGAAAGCACTTGCACCCAAGAACACGTAAGGAGCTATAATCTGGATGCTTCTGAAAAAGACGAAAATATGGTGAGTCCATTTTTAATGTAGGAGATGGCAATCTATTGATTAGAAACACAGCTGTGCTAAAACATTCAACCCAATATTTAGAAGGAA